GAAATTTGCGAGCGAGAACGTATGTGCACTGACTTGTTTYCCCGATTTTGTAAACTTACAGAATAAATAGTGAAGTCGGAATGCTGCATAAGTTGAAARAACGAATTCCTTTTGGTCGCAGAGTGCAAATGCGTTTTAATGCAAAAAAATTAAAGTATTGTGGACGATTGTTTAAAATAAAGAAGTTCGTGSTTGAAAATTTCCTGACCAGAACACGCAAATCAGGAAAATAATTTGAACAGAGGTGAGTGAGTCATAAGATTGACGGACATTGCTTCAGGGAAATACGTGAAAAGAAAACACTACGTCCTGAAGCTAAGAAATGAATAACGAGAAACCCCCAATCATTTAAAATTCAATTAAACGACATAAAATCTATTTTTGATCTTAGTTTCAAGCTAAATATACACGCAAAGCTGTAYATTAAACGGGTTTTTCCTTCTGAAGCAAGCAATCGCAAAGATAAAGATTTGAAAGATTATTCAAGGATACACGGTAAAACGCGAGTTTGCATGTATCAAAATGGCGATTGCTATCACGATTCCGCCCAACTGTGGTCAGCATTTAATTCACTGCGTCCTTTTTTCAAAAAGAAAAAGCCCTAAAATTACTAAGAAGTAACTTTAAAGTATTTTCCTACGGCGAATGAAAAGGAAAGCGAACTTTTAAGACTATTTTACCACAACAGTTTTAGCGCAGGCGGCTAGAAACGAACCACCAGTTCATGGTCTTAAAAAATCCACTTAAAGATCTTCACATATCTGTCATCTTTTTATCAAAATTTAGTCAAAAGACTACGCCAGTCGTCACGTGATAAGAAACATAACACGAGCGATAACACTGGTTTACGTCAGTAAATCAGCCAATCCGACAGCCCGTTCAAAGCTGTATCATTGCATAGCYGATGGGTATAATGTCTAAAAATCCGAGTGCTAATTCGAATTTAATTAAACACCAACTCATACATGTTATGGATTTAATTTACCGAAGCATGCGAAGGATAAACAAAGGTTTAACACACAAGGCAAAACAATGATGTATTTGTAATAAGTGAAGTCGTCCGTCAGGCGTAGAAACATTGACAAAAGATATCGAAACATGGGTCATATAATCCAAATTGATGTGACAGTTTAACATTGACATCGTTGATACATATTTACGCTAAATATTGACATATAAATATTGGGATAAGGGAATATAAACCAAAACTAATCCTATTGAGTCTTTCTATAAACCTAAATACAAACGTTGAAATAATCGCTAGCAAAAGTACAAAAAATGATCAAATTTCCCGTTAAATATAAAAGTACACATTATTCCCAAAAATATTCAATTTTTTTTTCAATCTTTTTGGGACACGTAAATATGTTTTACTCGAAGATTYTTTTTCTCCGATATTTTGATTTGCTATAATTCAAAGACAACGAAATAATATTGCTTAAAATATTTTTTGAGAAACAGTAACGATGACAGCACTGCAGTTTTGTTAAAAAAATGGACTACTGCGTCTAATTGAAAGTCGGGAGCTTGGCTTCTTTTAGCGCTTTACAAATCTTAATCGCTATACTTCAAATAAAAGCGTCTAGCTTTTTTGTAAATCCCTGTTTCATAGTCTAAACTACTGAAAGGAAGTCTGTTAGTTCATAACACAAGTTTATTTATTGTTAGGTAGTAATTCCAGACCATCTAGAGAAACAGCTAGGGTTGGCATATAAGTTTATGAATTCAATTGTTCCAATACATCATTTCTTGAGGAACGCCGAGGCACCCTGTGAGCACAATGTTGAGTTATCAACAAATCGATGCCAATGCATTTTGCCCCCTAAGTTCTTTCACTTTTATATAGAAAACAAGAGTAAAATCGTCTCGAAAATAGAATTGGACTACTATTTATAACGAGGTAMCGCTGAAATCGATACTAGAATGCAGAAGTCGTCTTACACAATAACTCATGTCTCTCTTGAAATAATTTCTATTGTGCAACCCAAAACCACAAGATAAATGTTCAAAGTTCTTATCTGCATTAGCCAAACCACAGCTAAACTACATCACAATCAAAATCTTTAGCGTGTTCACACAGTCCTAGAAAATTCAAGCACTGAAATATCATTCTCAAATAGGTTGACATCTTAGTTGAATTGTAATCACTGTCATTTGCCATATCATCAAAACATGGCTGTTCTGTCATGAAAATGAGATTCACATCTATAAATAATTGTAGAGTAATTATGCCTATGATGCCCTGAATTCCAGCTGTTTGGCCTAGCTCCCTACGGAATCAAGCTACCATTCTGTTTATCAATATTTGAAAAATACACTGGCAACAATGGAATGCAACTTTATTGATTCAGATAGTTAAACATTGAAGCAGGGGCTTTTCTCTGTGAAGGACTTTTACAAACAAACTATACATGATTTGCTCCACACAGGGATCTGTATTAGTTAATAAGGGTAAACACACTTTATTATATAGTCTGTTCAATAGCAAAACCAATACAGCCTACAATGCTTCTTTGCAATATTAAACAATTTCTAGCCATTTTGCTTCCATAAATGAATGAAATTTTGAAATAAATAAAACTCCAAACATTTAAAAACTAAACTGTTTATTATGTTGCCATTTGTTGCAGTTTTGATATTGCTTTTTTTTATTTGAAACAGTTTCAACAATTAAAAAATATCATCCTTTAAACACAGAGTATTGGTTTCTCTTGTTATATACAAGAGAATATTAGCAAAATACAATCAAAACATACCCGTTTTTTCATAAAAATTGAATAATTCTGACCACAGACATGAGAAAGTAAAATCTAAACTAAAATATATTGAAAAATAAAGAATATAAAATTGACACCCACAGATAAGCTAGAAATTGATAAGTGTGGGCTACACTTTCAATGAAAACCAATCCTATACATTTATGGTTTCAAATTCTGCACCTAATCCCTGAGGGATGACGAGCAAAACAGAAAAGAACAAAATGAAAAGTTGAATGGGATGTCAAAGTAAATGGGATAAATAATATATTTTACCTTAAAAAAATTTTCTATGCATTTCAGCATTAAATTCACTAAAGATGATMATTCTTAATAAAAGAAGAAATACAGTAGTGAGCAATGAATAAAGAAACCATGATTATAAGCTTCTCATACAATGCTACAACAACAGAACACCTAACTCTCATTTCAATACACAACTGGTTGTAAGAATACATGAATAAAAAATTATTTCATTTTGATAATAGTACACAAAAAAACTAAATCAAAATGACAGCTTGTCAGACGGTGATTGCATTCTACTATCAGCTCACTTCTTGGAGAATTTTTTTTTGTTTTCTCTTTAAAGCTCTTGATTTTACTATCGATGTTACATAATMCCAAATGAGTGTATCGTAGAATATGCTTAATATCAAACTACCACATTCTATTCAATTATTCAAATAAGCAGCGGCTTGAATTTACATTTTGGTACACCGTATAAACATCATATATAGTGTGGACTGTTTGGCGTTCAAATAAAATACTCCACGCTTCATTTAACAGAAAATGTCGAGAATCTCCCAAATGCAAGTCAGTAATAACAACAAGGAAGCAACAATTCGGTTTTGAGTCTAGACTGTCACTCACACAATAAATTGGGTAGCAAAATTAATTATATTGAAAATGCTTTGCTGTTTGAACCAAAGGATGTACTTTTGATAATATACTTTAGGTAAAGGAACATTATTTCAAGTGTCTGGCAATAATTAACAATAACGAAAACTAAATCTGTTAGCAAAATAATGCATAAATTTGGTTCGTTGACGAGGGATATCATTCAACTATAATGCATTGTAAATCAATAGTGCTAGATTTTTTGATTTCCATCAGCGTTTACGGAATATATCCCTTGCAAAATAGTCACGCTTTCAGTGGTTCTGTAGTGATTACTTGCAAATCAAAATCTCTTAAACATAAACCACACAGTGTTCGGGAATGCTTTAGTTCGTCTGCTAATGATCAGCTAGCAGGTTCGTTATAAAAATGCTAACTTCGTGCTAAACACTTCTAGCACTTTACCAATTTAATAGTTATACGAGAATTACTTGTAATCATTTTGTCTTGAAATTCTCAGTCACTCTACGAGAATTGTCCCCAAAATCACAACGCTGATTGTTCTAAAGAGCGTCAAGCTAAGATTGACAAGACATAGCTAATTCTGGGATTTTAAATGGAGAACATTTAGCAGAATTACGCGAACCTAGTTGTCTGGGATTTAAAGTATGATTATGTAGATATGAATGTTCGATAAGATGAGACTGTGTCGGCATGAGCGCTGAAACATTCACAATCTTCATTCATTGGAACTGAATTAATTCACTCAGACATTCATTCCGTTGCTTGGCTATAGTTCAGCAGAATTAATGACATTTGAAAATCAAGTAAATTCCATACAATCCTTTTTGGTAGGTCAGCACTCTATTGAAAGACACTCATCAGTCTCAGGTTCAATTTTCAAACACACTCGCAGAACTCGCGTGGCGATCATCGTTCTCTTTGTATCGGCATATACTATGTACTCATGTCACGGACAAACAAACTCTCATTCGCGGAATCCCCGAACAATACAAATCTGTTTCAGAAAACATGAACCAATACCTTGATCTAAGATCTAAAGGCACTGTGACTTGTTGACTATTTACAGCGTGATTTAAAAAATACATGAATTGCAAAGTTTAACAACAGCCATGGTATTCGACAGACATACATTGGGTATTATTGTGTCTCGTCAATTTCATTCAAGTTCTGTTCAATTGAATACGCCCAGAAGAATCAATTTCACACCAAAATTATAAGGGCTATTGTCTGCGATTTACGAAGCATGGTGCTGTGATGTGGACGGAAAATAGCTATCGTATATGCAGTAATTTAACAGCGTATTTCCACAGCGCATATGCAGTCCGTACGTTGACAGCTGATGTAAAAGTTTAATGCTACACGCATATCTACACAATTGCGTACCTGAGCCGTTTTGGTATTCTGAATGGATTCCATTGATCGTAGAGAAGTTGTATCCATATGACGAGCTGTATGTGAAGACTGGAGAACTTTGGTGTTGCGTAGTGGAAGGTGAGTACGTGGATAAAGAGTTAGCGCTCGTGTAAGTATAAGGCAACGAGAAGTGGTACGTTGCGGCATCGTTCACTCCAACTGTTGCTGATTGCGAAGTGTTCGCGGTAGTCACCGTGTCAGTCCTATAATAGCGGGCAAACTTCGATTCATCGAAATTTGTAGATGACTGTCCACTATCCATTTTTGCCCGTTTATTGGGGCTTTCTATGCCAGCTAGCATGCCCTCAATTTCTGCCATGTTTTCCTTGAGGGAATTTCCTCCTGAATGACCACGATGATGCTAGTCAGCGGGTAATATCAACAAAGATGTCTCGTTCCAGACCCCTTGAGGTAAGTAAAAGGTTCTGTGATTGGTCAGCTGTGAATGAACCAATCAGAAAAGAGCTATTTATCCCTACAACGACAGCGCGCCATTTTGGAAATGCGAACAACACAGATAAAATCTGCACAAAGGCGCTGAATATGTCTCGCAGAAAACCTAAGAATATAGGCTCAAATGATGTTCACAATACCTCTATATCSCCGTGTATTATTTGTCTCGATGAAGTGCGATGCCGTGGCAAAATAACAGTCTGTGATCACTGGTTTTGCTTTGGTTGTATAGTGGAGTGGTCKAAGGTASCGAAACTAATAATTTTGCTTATTTGATTCGTCTTCATTCCCTACATTATTGAATCTTTTTGATTGTTTTTCACAGAATACCAATACCTGTCCAATTTGCAAGGCAAGATTTCGTACGATATCCAAGGTAAAGCTTATAAAATGTTAATAAAAATGTGTTTTTTTGTTCATTTGGAGGGGATTAATAATACAGTGTAAAGACTACTGAACAAAGTTACGTCTCAAATATTTAGTATTACTCCCTACATAGCAGCTTCAACGAATTGTATTGTTCTAAAAGTGAATGTGCGGGAGTACAGAGAAGCGAATTTAATGAGCTTGAGCTTAGCTGAATGTCAAAGAAACCCGACTGCGTGTGTTATGGCTATTTTCTTTACTAGATTACAGCAAACTATCAACTACCTCATGATAATTAGCTCTATATTCAGTTTCAAGCATGATAACTATTTCATGCCCACCATTTATGCAAATAGTCGTCTGTGAACTGAGTAATCATTCTGACACTAGGTACTAACCACATTTTATACTAGTTATTTTATGAGCAGTATAGCTAAATATATTAAGCTTATATATCTATTAAAGAACATAAACTAACTCTACAAAAATCTGCCTCATTAGGTTTCCAACAAGCAAACACCTATTGTTATCAATTTTTCCACGTGTAAAAAAATATAAGATAAACATCCTTCTCTTTATTGAAATTGTTCATGTATTTTTTTTTTTCTTAATTTATAATATATAGATATCAAATGTCCTACTAACAAGGTCTCRGTGGTTTGTGATCTGGCTTTTGATTGCTTTATGTCTTTTTATAGGTCCATCTAAGTCCTCTTAAGTCGCCAACCACTAAAGTCAGAGTCCCTGACAAAGATCAGCGGGTCTGGAATGATGATGATGACATAGCCCTTCAGGATTTGATTGATGATTTACAAAATGATCTGAGAGATGAGATTGACAGTGACTATGAACCACCCACCTACGTGAATTCAACACTTAGYCAAGCAAGATCTCGTCTGTCTGTTCACAACTATCAATATGTAAGTGTGTGCAATAAAKTGTCTGAGGTCAGATTGAAGATATTGCTAAAATTCCCTTTGGGTATCTCCACCTTATATGCTTTTTCAATTATTTAGATTCTATCCATGATTTTATTCAAGAACAAATRCAAATTCTATTTGAGACTTTTAAATTTTTGAAGGAAAATATACGGTTTGGGTAAGAATAATTTGGTTGTCTGTATCTGATCCTGTTATGTATTTTAATGTTTTTATGTTTGAATGTGATATCTCGAAGATTTTGCTTAAATAGTAATTATATTTCAAAATCCTGATTGCGTTTTTTTTTGTGTGTGTGTGTGTTTTGGTGTAAATCTTAAGACACAATCAAAAACATTTTTTATCAGCTATTTAACCAATATTCTGATTTCTATTTAATTTTTTGATATTCATTTGTGAATAGTTTTGTCTGCAGTCTGTTTTTGAGATCAACTGTTTGAGTACCGTGAAGAAATAATCAATAAAACAAACTTTACTAACCATTCAATTCACTTTAGGGTATTTTACTTGTAAACAAATTTTAATATATTTTCTGCTTGGTATATTATTAACTTTTTGGAGATTGAGGCTATTGAAGATACACTCCTACAGATGTAGGCGTTGATAATGTATTCTCCCCAAAATCCTCTCTTCCAAAAATTCACTAGGAAATAGCTGATAAAGTTGTTTATATTTCTATATAAGGATCGTACAAGTTGTAAAGTACTGTAGACATTTTGAAATTATATGTGTAATTAGGGTCTATTATTATTGATAAATGTCATTATTACTATCAGCGACAAATCTAAGAAATTGTCCCCAAGATGTTATTTTTTTCTGCCGTATCTTAACTGGACTGGAGTTAAGATGGATGCCAATTTGTTTAGAAGAGAAATAGTTAATTATATCTATAGTTTCACAGTGAGAATAATATAGCATATCCTTTCTTGTTGTCAACTGATTGATTGGTTTAGATGCAATCATCGGCATATGACATATCCATCTGATTTGCTATTTGTACATGTGGTAAAAASGTATTTATATTTACCACCTATTTCTGTCACCCTATCCTTTCTATCCATTTAAAGATCAACAACTATAGATTTTCGTTCTCTCACGACGTTCCTGAATACAAATTCAACATGTATATCAATAATCTATGACCCCCTTGTGAGCCTAAAAAAACGAGAGAGAGAGAAAAAAAAACCTCGTTAGAAACTAAGTACTCTATGTGATATTTAAGTATATATGAAAAGCCCTGGGATTTTCTTGACCGGGTTGTTATAAGTGGAGCTATATTTTTGACATATTGGACATTACTGCTAGCAAACCATCATCTTGACTATGGTACAATGAATAGGTCTCATACCAAGACATGCAAAACACAAAGTGCTCATTCTGACATATTAGCTTTTGATTAATCGTYYTTGGGTTCTTTTAACCGAATTGAACTGCGAAAATCCCCCTGCGTAGCCCTTGACTTTAGAAAGATAACACAGGCCATAATTATCTTCCTAATAATGTTTTTTTTTCCTACCTAGCAGTGACCTAATGCATTCAGTCACCCAATGACGTGTCTGCTTATTTTGAGATTCGGATGATCTTTCCCAGACAGCCCCACCATATAAGGCAATTTTCTTCTGAATATTTTGAAGTTTTCCATTAAACAAAAGGCCCGTTTGTTTCGTTTTTATCAACGCTCGCAGGTATGTGAGCGTTTTACGCATTTCTACGTCCGCTGTGTTAGTTTTAGATGCAAAATGATTCGAGACATCTCGTCTTTTGACTGTGGATAAATTTATGAGAAACGCTCGTGGCTACGGTAATCTTATCGGACCATTTTAGTATTCGATTAAGGCATTTTATACAGACAGCTTTCCATATATACAATATATCTATGTTTTCACTGCTACCGGGTCTTTGAAATGCGAAAAACAGACCCACCCTTTGAAGGCTTTCTTTTAAATGAGTTTTGTCTACGAGCGAGATTAAGAAATTCACTTAATCTTCATCTTTCCAATACCGATGTTTTTTTTAAAAACCTCAAGTCGACCAGCGATATTGTTTCTGGTTTCTTAAGTCAAAACAATCACTCTCGCTCCCTTTTGTGCTGAAGACACTTCTATGGCCGTTTTTTATAAGATTTTTAATTTTTTTTTGTAATGCTTGTTTGGCGTTTCTGTGCAGTCAAAATGTGATTAGTGAAATGTTATTGTGAATATGTTGAAGTRCGTAAGGTCGGTGACTTCCTTTCAGATAAGAATCTTAATAGATTTGTTTATATTTATTTGATTAAGCGTGCGCAAAACAAAAAATGCTAGCCTGGAATAATTAAGATGAAAAATATGAAGCATTCCATTGGTGGTCCATTGTGTTAAAATCATTGGCAAAGGGCGTATCCTGCAAATGTAACAAAGGAAAAAACTGTGTCTCTGAGAAACTGCTATTAGGTTGAGAAGATTTCTTTATAGCATAATAGCTATAATAATACTTATAGTAAATTGTAAGTATAAAGATCTCCTCCCAAAACTGATAAAACAATTCCACAAGTGCTTAGAATTATCTTATTGAATAATATTTAGGTATTTAGTCTCAAGTTTTTAAAATACTAATGCATTTACARCGGTTTTTGCATAGAATGTTCAGCTAAATAGGATCGCTCACCGGGGAGTGATAGCGCGCTGATAACTCACCAAAAATGCATTATGCGACCGCTTGAGGTTTTRCTTCCCTTGTGGGAGTACTTGAATTGTACTTGTTCACTATCAAAGATTGCATCAACGGAAGTGACTCCACGAAGACTATTAAACAATGAAGTTGTAGTGTAGCTAGCAAAGTTGTTTTTATGTTTGATGATCACTTAGTTTATTAACATAGCGGTATAAATATGGAACAAATGGGTTTTATCAGTATACGACATTGCCTTCGCATATTTCATAACTTTGATGGATAAATCTAAACGATAACATCGAGCAATATGCAGACGTCTGTTGTATTTTCCATCCATAAAGTGGTGATTTATTTGTTTCAAGGTAAACTGCTTTTGAGGGAACTAAACACGATATACCAATTGATATAAACAATAGCTGAGAATAAGTTTGTACTGGATGTAATGCACCTGTTTGGTGCTCCCCTCTCCCCCCCCCCCCCACCCCCCCCCCCCCCTCTCACCCAATCTCCCCCTCTCCTTTCCCCCCCTTCTCCCCCCAATTTCTCCAACTTCTTTTCTAGCAGAACTAGTAGTATCTCGAACTTAAGTGAGATCAAGTATCTTGTGTATTCCAAACACGAGAAAGCACGCAAAAGGACATTCAAWGGCCAAATCAAAAAAAGCACTAAAAAAAATTCTTTTTCCGAGGTTTTGGAGCCAAGGTGAATCATCAATGTTTTAAAGCGCTTTTCTAACGAATGAATGCTTGGTGACATTTTTCTGGACAAAACTTGACATTTGAAAGGAAAACAAAAATGCGAATTCCAAGCACGTGATCAAATATAGCTATCGCATTGCCATGGTTTCACTGAGATTCACKTGAGSTGAATAACAATGATCCGGGTYCATGAGCCGTCAGTTCATTGTCGTTATGCGTCATACTTCATTATATTTTAATGATGGTATTACGATAATTAACTTATTGATTTTCATTTTTTAGCAGGGACTGGACGATTACGATTTGGAAGACTCGTTCATCGACGATAGCAATATATCTCAAGTCCTCAGTTTTGAAGAACACTTCTACCTTGAAGTGGAAAGACGTCCAATCCAGTATGTAGCAGTAACTGAAATATTTTTTATTATACGATCAGCAATGAATAGGTCAATACAGCCATTGTCACAAATAAGAAAATAMCGTGATGCATCATTTATTAAAACACATCGCTTGGGCATTTGTGTCGAAAAAAAAATGCGTCGCAATCGCAAACACAAGTGTAAGCGTTGTGATCAAAACGTATGATTGCATTTAATCAATATTTTGTATAGAGATTTTGGTGTGTGTTTGTGTTTAAGCATTGTGATGGTCCCTTGTGAATGCGTCGTATAATGACATCTTGGATTTAATTGGAAAACTATGGTGAACTATGACAACCATGTTTCATTTCGGTCGTAAAGTGTGGTCGCAGTTTTGTTGTGACAACGGTCGATTAAATCGGTATAAACAGCATAATATATCAATCAAATCAAATCTTTATTTTACACAGAATTTTTTAAATAACATAATAATGTAGACTAAGAAAATTATTGAATATGAGTTGAATGGGAAAAAAAGAAGCATTGTCTCCGAAATGACCACTGCTCATATTTAGTGGACTTAACAACAACAACAAGAAGAACAGCTAAAAACTCACATATTATCTCATAAAAATAACGAACTTAACCACCACAAAGGAAACYAAGTTGCCCAATACGCTTTATTATGGTTTRAAATACTCTTATGGTCCATAATAGCGGTTTTTATGAGTGGCATACAKCCATTATTGTAACTGTACTGATCAGAACCGCTATGTCTATAAAAAGAGTCGGGATTCCGCCCTTTACCATACCTTCAACATGAATAAACCGCAACTATAAATCGCTCATACAAAAACCACTCATCGCTGATAGGATGGGCTGCCTGTGCTTTTAGTAACCATTTATGGTATTTTTGTCGACAAATGTTTTTTTTTGTGGCTCGTCTGAAAATCATTCCGTCTGGAACATCTTGTTTTCGTTCTCAGATAATACCCGAGACAAAGCTTATTGAATCGATAATATTTTGCTATTTGATAATATTGGAAGCGATAAAACGAGACTTATGAAATAGGCTTTGTACACGCGGCGATGGCTAAAGTATAATTTTAATGTGTCGCGTCCACGTGTCCGAGCGTATCCGGCGGAAATTTTCAAAAACACTTTTTACACGAATAAAAATTCCGCCATCATTTTTGAACCGCAAATATTTGAATTTAKGTTGYAAAATTTAAACTATAGAATTGAAGATTATGTGAGAAACTAGAAAAACAAAAGGGCGCACCTTATTTGGTCCAACATGAATTAACTATAGTGAATATTTTAAACTTTTTTTTAGAAATAATGATTTATTCAAAAACGCACTACTGAATAGACACCTTCTTGAATTAAGGAAAAACTATGGAAGTCAAGAGAGAAGAAATTCACATTACTATAGAATGATACCGAGAAATAGTACTTTCTCTAATAATTTGTTACTCAAAGTGCCTATGAAATAATTTTTTTTGTAAGTTCAAAGTTATTTCATTCATTACGCAATATTGCCCTAGTATGGTAAATTTCATTCTTTTTTCTTTTTGTAAAAAAATATTTTACTGGGTGACCAAAACCAATCTTCTACAAATTAGCAAAGGATTATCTAACAGCACTCATAATAAAACACAATTAAAATTTTAGGAAGCAAAMCTTATGGTGTCATTTAATTGGCATAACAGTTTTTCAACCTTAATTTTCTCCAAAATTTGAAGCGTACATCCAGTGGCACAAGAATGCTAACCTCATGCTCAGTCGCACCCAATAATTGTTTAGTTTTGAAACAACGGAATTTTGTTTCATGAAACTTTAAAAAATTTGCATTTTTGTTTTAACACATTCAAATATGTTGTTTTTTTATGCTTTTCTAAAATCACTAATACATGAAGCATTCTTTCAATGGCGAACAGTCTGTAAGGCTCTTATTGATCCCATTGTTTCATACTGAAACCAATAAAAGTTAATATGGCGGCCATACTTGTAAAATACCTTAATCGGATAAAAACGGCGGTGACTTAAGCTTTATCGAAATCGTATTCTTGAGATTGCCCCAGTTATAACATTTTTTTACATTTCACTTTCAGTCGTAATTCTTTTAGCATTATTGAAGACGAGAGCGATGATTACATTGATAGCGACGATGATCTCGACGAGGATAGTTTTTATGATGATGATGATGATGATGATGACTATAGCGACAGCGAAAGTGAAGATAGCGATGACTGGTCCATCCAAGGTATACTCTTATCCTCATTATTCACAATTTTATGAAAAAAAAAGCAATTTATTATATAATTATCTATGATATACCTATATTTCTCCATTTCGTAAAATTGATATTTATAATTTGCTTTCATATACAATTATATGATAAAGGGAATATTACATGGTCGCTTAGAGATACGAATTTCATCTTTTCGTGTTGAAAATCTCTCACTCGGTCGCTACGAYCACTCGTGAGAGATCTTTTCAGCACTCGAAGATAAAATCCGTATCTCCGCGCGTCCATGTAATATCCTCTATTTTCATATGTAATTATATGATAAACAGAATATTACATGGTCGCTTGGAGATACGAATTTTTTATTCTCGTTTTGAAAATCTCTCGCGATCACGAGTGAGCGTAGCGAACACTCGAAGATAAAATCCGTATCTCCGTGCGCCCATGTAATATCCTCTTTTTCTTATTACGGACGAAAGTATAGTTAGACTATTATCTAAAAGCGTTGGGTTCGAATCCTATTTGGTCGATTAAGATTCTTGCAGTTTACAGTCAGCTCTCGTTATAACGGACACCAATGGAACAGTAATTAATTGTCCTCAAAAGCAAGTGCCCACTTTGAAGGGGKTTTTTTCAATAAATTCTTATTTCTCAGTCATTCAAGTGTCCGTAACAACAGGTTGTGCTTAATATCGGGGTGTCCAAGAGTTGACTGTACTGTAGCTAAAACGTGAAAGAATATATAGCACTGAGAATTAGGAAAATTAGTATCATCTTAATCCGACTGTGGGAGTAAATTTTACCTTGATTAGAAGCGTTTCTCATTGAAGAAACAACGTAATAAAGTACAGTGCACCTCTGATTCACCTTCTAACTGTACATCTCATGTCTAATAACAGATCTCACGACAAGCGCACGAGCATCACATAGATCAGTGACATCGCGTTTAAGATCATCCAAACCTTCATCATCGCGATCATCAAAAACATCCAGGTCACCACCTAGTCGCCGTGATTCAAAAGCACCTCAAACATCACAGTCWAGACGAGAATCAACATCATSTAAAGCCTCAARATCTACGAAACCATCCAAAACGAAACCAGCCAAGAAAACTAAGAAAAACAGCACCGCAAGAGAAACAAAGTCGAAGTCAAGACACCAGAAAGAGCAAGTAAGGCCCAGTGACTATTCATTTATACAGACAAGCAAGGCTCTTGTTCGCTGTACATTCTCAGTGATCCTCGGTTAGACTTTCTAGTTGTTTTTTGSTATCGTAATCGATATAATTGGCCCCCATCAAGCACKCAAATTTACGGTAATATTCTTGTGGCGGATCTTGTCGATTCTAGTTGAGCTGACTGCTTACAACTACTATTGCAAGATATCATGGGTAATGCAGTCGCTAAATGAGTGGATTGTGGCCTAAATATTCCAAACTTGTTTCTTTTTCAGGGGCGGCGGAGCCAAAACATTTAGATCCCCCCTCCCACATAACGGCAGCGTAACATTCAGTAATTCACTTTTTTGTCATTAAAAAAATGCACGATTTGCAAAAGTTGATGTGACGTCATCACTATAGTATATGATTGTGCCCCCAAGTCAACTTTGGTTCCGCCGCCCCTGTGTTTGCATGTCGTCATCTCATCACACTTTCTCAGCAAATGTAAATTCTACGTTAGAACGTGGTTTTACAAAGTAGTGCCAGGCTCATAATGAACAAACTCATCTTTGTGGATACACCTTGTAAATACACAAGCTCTTTGAATCCGACGTGTGATATTAAATCCTACGCTCCACAACGTTCACAATATTTAACAGTTAAAGGTTCTATCGCCCCCTAAGTGAAAACTTTCGTCCTGTTTTGACGGCAATTCATTAGCGTTCCACCTAGATCCGCCCTTGTTATAGTTGAAAACATTTAAAAAAGCCATTATTTCTACTCAGGAAAAAAAAATTAAGAATATATCCGCTTTCAATAGGCTGCAAACAAGCAAAAAATGAAGAATGACGTTATCGCAAAAAGCATCCAGGAAACTGGTTCCAGTGGGTGGTTGACTACGAGTAGAAGGCCTGGGCGCGCAGCTGCTGAATTGGCCGCCCGACAATTAGCACAATCCCAGCATTCAAGGTAAAGGAACATTTTAACTTCGTATTTCTTTATTTATTTCAAAGTCTACATATTTTTTTTGTGATTGTTTTTTCTTTTTTTTTTCTTTTTGTAATTTGGCTTTGTATCTATTTGTTTTGGTTTTATGTGATATTTCTCTCTTGGCTGCTCGTTTATTTCTGTATTTGTTTACATTTGATTTCTTAATGTGTATAGTGCAAACAATATAAACGTGAAACACTAGAGTGCAAAGTGAAAGGGTGAAAAAACAACCAAATAG